ACAATGAAATATGAGCATTGTCTTTTTATTTAGTACAGGCAGATAAGAAATCAAAGGAGGAAAAAAAAAGGTTTTATCAGAGCAAATAATAATAGATCAGCCTTTGCAAATCTAAACCACTCATTCATAAAAATTTATAAAACTCCACAAGGCCCTTATGACCAATTCATTCAAGTTCTCAATGTCCTGCCTTCACAGTTACTCTGTCTGGAATTCTGAATGGACAGAGAGAAAAAGGCTGGTAGAAAAAATGTCACCTACATAACCGAGTACTGCTTGTATTTTGAAAAATAAACAACACAGTGATGGAGTCATTGCAGAGCTGCAGGCAAAAGAAGATTACACATATACAACTAGTAGCTTTTCTGCAGAGACTTTCTAAAGTGTTTCTATTAGGCAAACTTTGCACGTGTGTGCAGTAGGTTCATATATGTGATGAAGCGTAGCAGCTCCAGAGGAGTTGTTACACTCTATTGTGTCAGTAATCCACATATTTAACAGTCCCTAAATACAGCAGAGCGTATCACCTCCAAAGGGGTCGTTATGGATTATCAAGTCAAATCCAAATGCCGAAACATGGATTTGATCAATAGACTGTAACATCTCTGTGGGTAAATAATATACATTTTTAAGAATTTTTACATTTTATGTACAAACTGTGGTCTATCTTAGGATAAATTATGTGGATTCAAATTTTAAAACTTTGATTTAGAAATAAGAAAGCAATAAAAGGCTCAGTAAGAGGTACTAAAGCATGATAATTCTCAGGAAGTAGGTGGTGACTCACATTATTTATTTTGAGCACCAACTCCGGTTTCCTACTGCAAATAAACAGTTGTCTGAAAATCTACCAAAGGGTAGGAATGGAATACGAACATAAAAATATCATACTAAATTCTGTTTTTTCTCAAATCTCAATGAATCTACTTCATGGGTAAGAAAATGGAGAAGTGAGGATATCTGTGGGTTCAGCAGAATCACAGAATGGTTTAGCTTGGAAAAGACCTCTGGAAATCAGGTTGCCCAGGACCATGTCCAGACAGGAGAATATTCAGTGGGTGTATGTTCTATCCTGACTTAATATATTTTTCTCCAATGAAGACTGGAGTGTATCTGTTGTATCTTTTTTTCTACAAAGATTTTTGAAGTGTTTTTGTCAGCGTTTTCATGCTTAATACGTACATCATCAGCAATATTACAGATTACATAGTATTTTCTGGTTCAGTTAAAGCATTAAATCAAATCAAATCAAATCTTCTAGGAAATCATACTCCGCCAAAATAATAAGATAATAATAGCTCTAGAATGCAAATTCTGTTTAAGTATTTTAATGCACTCATTTTTGTTGAAGGTAAATATGGAAGAAAGTCCTATCCACTGAACAAAGCCAATTCTCTGACAATTTTACTTCTGTCATGTCAAGTGGAAAGAGTGGTGCAGCCTATTTTCTAGATTTTCTTCATTCCCCCCCGTTTTCCAGTATTCCTCTTTACCCTGTGAAGCCACACACATAGTTGCTTCTCCCCTTTGCTCAGTCAACCTGAACCTGATATGCATCAGGTAAGGTAAAAAAAAAAATCAGCTCCACTCTGACAACTTTTTGCCTCACGTACATAAATTGAAATAACTCTGTAACTGTAGATGTCCTCAGAATAGTATAATCTCTGAAGTGTACCCTAACCTTAAGGCTTTAGCAAATGGTAAAGTCTGACTGTGTCAGAGAGCTGCACGTTTTTGTTTTATACTTTCTAATGAGTGAATTTCTGTGAGCACTTTTAAAGCTTTGTAGGAGATTTTGTTTGAACGGTAGAATATGAACACAGGCAATTTCCAATTCTGTGTCTCTAACCAAATACCAAGTTTTCTGAGACTCAAATGACATGTTTTCAAAAAAGCCTAGGCCCAGGCTTTGAAGCTATGTACATCATTTTGTAAGCTCAATCATTTGCACAACAAACTATTACCAGCTATCTGAACTTGAAGACCAGTAAGTGACCAAGACTCAATAGCTTTTTTAAACCATCTGCAGGCAATTAATTTGTCATCTTTTTCTGGTGCCAGCTTCTAACTACTTATTCATACATGTCTAATTACCTGAAGCCAATTTCTGAAAATTTGGTCCTGAAAACATAGCGTCCCCATTCTTCAAAAGAAACCAATCCAGACTTGCAACTATGTTATCAAAGCTTCACTGGGATTATGACAGAAACCATACACTATGTTCTTTGCATACAATTATTTCAAAATTATGTTTTTTTATTGAAGTGATCTGTCATTCCCTCCCCTCATTTTGATCATCCTGTTCGTAATTTTTAGACTAAAAGAAATACATCATAACGTAAAAATTGAAAGGGCAGAGGGTAAAAGAGGGGGAGAGGGGATGGGAAAAGTGTTCTAGAATTCTATTGGTTCAAAGGATGCTTCTGTTCTTAATGTACTTTATACATGCTACAAAGCATAAAATATTCCCTTAGAATATGTAACTCAATTCCTTTTTGCTTTAAGTTAGAGTGTCAGGATCTATCCTAATTTTAAAAGATAAATTTATAACCCATTCTTTTGTAAGCTTTGTCTTTCTTGCATCTTCAGAGCAAGGATAACAGACTAGCACACCAAAACTAAAATTATAGTACATGCTACAACTTTTTCTTACTTTGACAATTCACTCTGTAGTACATGGTATGCTAAACAAAACTAGCAGGGCTACATAAAGGCACTGAGAGCTTTAACAACAGCTTTCCTTGATGCCGTTGTATTCTCAGAATTAAGTAGTTGCAAGTGTTACCATGAGAACTCTTCAGATAGAAGGCAGCATTTCAGCACTGTGTTGTTTATATTTTCAAAGACTTCCAATTCATTCTGCTAAATTTGTAAACAAACGTTTTTTTCCCTTTCACCCCCTATGTATAACCTCAGCCTGGGACCTCTATCTGTATCTGTGTTGTTCCTACTTGTGTATCAGGAATATGCATTGTCAGTAATCTGTAAAAAACCAGACATTTCACCTCATTCTCTGAAACATTTACTTCCTTTTCTTCAAAAAGTGAAAGACAAAAAGTTACTTTGTACAATGCAAGAAATAAACATGGTACTGAAAAGACTCAGGGTGCAGTAACTGAAAAGTAAGTGGATGCCATTTTTACACTTACTTTTCAAAGTCATATCAAATGTTAAGAATTTTTTCAATAACCCTTGTACTGTGTTAGATATTTTTAAATGTCAAGAAACTGAAACTCATAAAATACATTTTAAATAAGCATATTTAATACACTCTTAATAATAATTATATGTGTGACATTTATTTTATAACTTTAGTACTCTATGTCTCAGTTAGGAACAAACACTGGTTCTACATTGAGAGTTTTGCTGAATATGGCCTGCTGAGTCAGTTTTCAATTCCTCTGCTTTTCATGCTACCAATCTGCATTAAATGAGTTTTTCAATGAGCCTTTGAATTTGTCTTAAAAATAAAAGTATTTTTAAGCCTGTGTAGCATTAGTTTAACAAACCTTTTCTATAGATGCCAAACCTTTCTCTTGTTTTAAGGATGGTAAATAACCAAGAATCAAGCAAAAACACAAAACAGAAAATGTAAATTAAAAGTTATGCATCAATCTTTGACAGTTCTATTTATAACATTTCCTTTTTTTTTCCCACACCTTCCTACAATCTGCCTACTCACTGAGTATTTCCCTGTGAGTTGAGAAAAGATCATATAATCATCAAACTCACAGTTTAAGATATAGTTAATATTCTGCTGTATCTTACACTCAGTCTAGACTAAAAATTCCTTACTCTTTCAAGAATAATAGCCTCTTCCTTTACTCCTCAAAATATACTGAATCTACCCTATAAAACACAGAAATGTAACTGAATTTTCTGTAATGAATTATAGGAATTGAAAAGTTAACTGCTGGTTTTTTTTTAGTTTTTTTTTTTTTTTTTTTTTTTTTTAATTATTATTTGCTCCAGCAAATACTCTGAAACACTATTTGCTTTATATGGACAAGTGAATGGGCCAGTTTTCTTTTTGTTCATCACCAAGTTAAATCGTAACAGTTCCTATTTGCCCAATGCCATAATGATTACTGTTGTTATCAGTTAACTGTTTCTAGTTAACTGAAATGTAGAATAAGTCTTGTGGTATATAACTGATTTTCTGCCACTAGTGTAAAAATTGTATGTTGGAAAAAGAATAAATTATTATTTCTTTTTTCTTTTGCAGCACAAGCCACCTCTAGCGAAGTAAACAGAGTAGCAGTGTTCACCAGAAAGTCAGCTCTACAGTTCAGCCAAATACCAGATTCAGTGTTTCCTGTCTCTGTTATACATACAGAGACCTTCTCCTGCAACAGGTATTGCAGAGCTTGGAAAGGCTACACAGAAGGACAGCACAGATGCAAAGAATTTTCCAAGTGAGTTTTTGTCCTCTAAATGGTCCTTAAAGTGCAAGTGATAGAAACAGTCCCTTATCTTTGTTCTATGATCTCACACTATTTGCTACAGTGAATGTTGTCCTTCTCAGTCTGATGCTGGCTATGCTCCCTCACCACCTTCTCTATTTTATTATTGTACCCCACTTCATTTTACCGTCTGGAAAGTACCATCAAAATGGTTGTTGAATGTGCGTCACAGATTCAAATACACTCAAGTATATTCAACAGCACTGTAATCCTTCACCATGGTAGTATGTAACTGGCCTTTCTATTATACTTATAAATCCACTCATTCTCAAAATCTACCAACCACAAACAATTGCAGCTTCAACCAGTTCGTTTTTCACATTGTTGTAGGCATGCTTACACATTAATCACATGTTGTGCATAGGAATGTTTTTTTTGAATGCTGTCATACACATGTAGAGAAGTTTGTAGAATAGCAATGTGAAGCAACAATCGGAGACAGCAAACAGTTGTAAAAAAAAGATTTTATACAAAAATAAGAAGCTGTTTGCAGGGAAAAGAATGAATGAAACACTGTGTGGCAATGGGAAACATTACCTTTTCATTCCTGCAGTTGTTTAGACCCATGTTATTCATGGAGGGCAATTTTCCATCAACACCATGTGGCTGCTGTTGCTGCTGCTGCTCCCTTTGGATCTGCTCTCTCATTTTCCGAGCCTCCTGAATGGCTTTCATTACTGTGTCCTGGTCCCCAAACAGGGCAGGTGAATTAAGACTGGAAAGAATATCTATAAAGAGAGAACACACTTTATTCAGGTAATCATCCAAATTAGAATTCAGTATAATCATTCCGTTCTCATCCTATTAAAACTGCAACCCCTTCAAAAGGAGGAGGGTTGGCAGTGGTTGCTTGTCTGAAGGCTGAATTAATCTATAGAATTGATTCATAAGCCTGTTCTCTTCTTTTGTTTTGTTATAAATATTACCTCTAAAGTCTTGGCACAGACTGATATGGAGGTGTCTGAATATAACCATGGACTCAACGTTCAAACTTACAAACTTAACACAACATTTATCTGAAACTTAAGTGGGAACCTTTTAAAGTATTGATAACAAGAAAATGAAATAAGAAAGATAAAGAAATCTGATTTGGACATCATCAGACAGACATGGGTTCTGAAAGGGCACTTACTTTGGCAGACAGAGCATATTATCACCTTGATATCAGTATAATGACCATTTCTGACAATGTTTCAATGGCTTCTTTGGAAGTGAAGGGAAATGTTTTTATGGCTTATATTAAAAACATTCACACTTTAGGCATGTCTTCTGCATCCACCTCTCTAGAATGGTATTTGAGTTCAAACTGGTATGCTGCTTTCTAATATTAGCTGGTGTATTAGTAGCTGGAGTTATATTGACAGGTAGAATAGACAGCTAGCTAGCTGCAGAAACTTGATCTTTCAGAAATCATGAGGCTCCCAAGTGTTTTCAGAATTGAACAAATCACAATTTTATATATCTAAGGCATTTATTTAACATACCTGTTCATTTTTCACAAGTGTTTCTATATATTTTACAAGTACACTTGAGCTGTAGATTGTGAGTAAGTGGTTTGCAGTATTTAGTCACAGTTAAAATTTACTATCTGAACTTCAGGGCTGATAACTGAGATCTTACAGCTCTTGATTCAGTTTCTTGACTGCTTGAGGGAGTCTTCATACACAGACTTCAGATCAATTTTGTTTCATTACTTAATAAGCTTTACTAATTAAAGAAGTTTCAATATGGGTTCAAAAATTCCATATTCTGAGTGAAACTAATGGTACATTTGGGCTAAACAGCTGAAAACCACATCTGGATTTACCTTCCTGCCTGATTTCTGGTTTATCATATCCCACTGAGACAAGGAATGGTCCTTGGCCCTGGTTCAACAAAGTGACTGAAAACTTACTTATTTTAAGTATTGTACATTGTAGCAATGGAATGTAATAACCACATCATTTCTGTGTATCTAGTATCTAAGCAAGCTCTATGTGCATGAAAAGCTATTTTTTGCTTCTTTAATCCAGAGGCCAAAATTATAGAATTAACTTTGCATGTATGCTTTCATTTGCTGTTTGTGGGGAAGATATTGATAGAAATCTCTCCTATATGTGTTTCATATATGCATATTTATTTGCTTCTGTGTATATATTTGTATGTATATGTTAAATATTTATTTGCTGTATTTCCTGTAGATGCATATCACTGCTGCATCCTCTGGTTACTCTTGTAAATCCTTGGCATTCAAAATTTATTTCAGAATCTTTCCTGTATATTTTCTCTCCATTTTAAACAAGAAATGTAAAAAGAAATGAAATGTAAAAAGAAATGAAATGTAAAGAAATGTAGATCTAAGTATCTATTTAATTCAGATGCGAATGCATTCAAGTTGGCATTCCACACATAAAACTTGCCAGTTTTCTTCTTTCCCGAGGACCGATTAGTTACCTAAGGAGGATCCTCTTCCCAGAGATCCACCAAGAGGGCTGGGGATACCACTCTTGTTTGTCACTGTCACTGGACTGCTTTTGCTAGCTGGGAAGAGGTTCTGTGTTGGAGATGTTGGGGATTTGACTGGTTCAGCCGTCTTGGGTCTGGCTGAAAGATTCAGTGGCTGGGCTGCTTCATCCTACAAGAGTTTAATGTAAGTAACTATTAGGGAAAGACAAATGAACACATAATTTTGCAAGCAAGCATTACTTTACACCTCGAAGACAATATCACATTCTCCTGCAATAATAACAAAAGAAGCTAATTATCTGCCTCCTTTAAGATTCAATGAAAGGAAATCTCATTAATTTCTGTGTTATGCTTCTATTTACATTAACTATGTGGCTGGATCGTTCTTTTTGCCAAATTAAAATTTGAATTAGCTCACATTACAGCTTAATTTCCTAATGTGTTTTCAGAGATCTAAATTAACCTAGGGCATTTATAAAGAATTATTTAAAATTTCCAGCAGCTCAGTAATGCGTTTGCATTGGTTCTGTTTGAAAAGTTCCTGGCACTATAAAATTAAGTTATGTAGCTTATTTTTATATGTATTAGAAACTAAGCAATCAAATGTACTTTCATGAAAGAATCATTTGGAAGCCCCCGACAGTTTTTTGGCCCACATTTAATGCTGCTGCTTTCTTATACATTCAATGCATCTTATTTAGAGTGCATGTTTTGTTTAGTAAAATCATCCATGCTCTTCCCTCATAATAAAAGTATTCCAGTGAATTCAAATTCCTTTACTTGCTATGGTAAAAAATGTATATTTCATGCATTTCAAAGATATTTTATATTTTTTCTAAAATATAATTTTGGTTATTTTTCCTTTTTTTTTAATTCTTGACAGATTTACGTAAAATCAGGATTTTTTTCATATAAACCAATTCTGGTTCCTGATTGTTCAATACTTCTGTAATTATTTCCATATTCTGTAGTTATCTCTGCTGCATTCAACCTTTACTTTATGTGTATGCTCATTTGCATAAAGAAAAGAAATAGGTTTTTTTGAAGCATATGCAAATCTAGCATCAGTACTCATATTTTCTTATACTTTTCATAGGCACTGTGGAAGAAATTCTGTCTTTGGCATACATCTTGATGTATGCTATGAGAGATAAGACTATTTGAGAAAAATCTTTACTTTTGGAAGAAGACCCATTCACACTATTAATTTGTTTAACTGGAGTAGGATACATCATAACCTTATTCCTATTCTTTGGGTTTGTTCCTTTTACTTAATACGTTAAGCAAGAGAGAGTATTTGGAAAAATGTGAGATAGTGATTTTCTGTAATTAAAGAGCTTAGAAAGATAGATCTCTCATTTAAAATTTGCCCACTGTATAATCTTGATGGATACAAGAGAATATCATCCATACATTACAACATAACACTGATCATTTTCAAAGCTTAAAACTAAGTGTCAGAATACAATAACACACTACATTATCTCATCTTTTCCATTCTTCCTACTGTCAAGTGATGATTTAGGAAAGCACATCTGATCATATACAAAGCATTAAAAAGGGAAACGTAACGAACAGGTATTTATAATGCTGTCATACCTCCTGTTTTAAACTATTTCTATAAAACTGCATGACGTTTTTATTCTTCCTGACCTTGCAGTGCACACAAATGCCCACACCTGTTCAGAGTCCAAGGGAAAGCAGAAACACAAAAGTATAAGGGACATAGTACAGCGTCATGCTTTGTGGTCATGTTATGTGCAAGCTGTTTCATTACACAAACTGGTTTCAATAAATTTCTGTGAAAGTTCAGAGACCCTTCCAGACTATGAAGTTTGCTGGACTAGGGCCTACAAGCGTGTACTCATAGAAACCCGTGTGACCATGTTCAATTTCCAAATAATTTTCTGCCTACTACTGATTGAAAAACAGTGAGAGAAAAAAGTCAGAACACTGCCAGAAGCCATTTGTTTGTATTTCACAGACAGCATTCTCTTTTCTGTGAGGCAACCAAAAAGCTGGATGGAAATCATTCTGGTCACTGACTGGAAAAACTCATCATTCTTTTTTGTAAGATCTGACTACTGTAAAAGAATCCCATTAGTTCTATAAATAATGCATATAGTATATACATAGTATATACAAATAACTCTTTAAATACATGGAGGATTTGTTAAGCAACGCATGACCATCAAAACTGTCATGTTCTATATAGGTAAAAAATTGCAAAGACAACATGCAGGTATCAGTTCATTAGAGTTCATATACATATAAATATGTATGTATGTATATATTATACTAACAACTAATTTTTTTTTCAGTAGCTACTGGCATTTGTCCATCTTAATTATCAGGAATTTATTTTTAGTATTTTTGATGCAATAGTGTGCTTAATAAAATAGGAATAAAAAGACTTCTTTTTTTATTAAGGTATATTTCAGTCCATTCAAGTTAAATTATGTAGGGAAACCCCCAAGAATTTGCATGTGGTCAAGTGTGTAATAGGACTCAGCTGGCCACAAAGCTGGAATGATATTGGCCTTGGTTCAAGGAGATATGTGCTTAAATTTAACCAGGGAAAATTTGACTCATATAGTAAGGGTTTGGTTTGGTGTAGATCCATTTGGCTCATTCACTTACGAAATTACTTTTTTGCATTAAAGTAGTCGGTAGTATATTCTCAATACCATAAATCACTGGTGCTGGTGTCACTTATACTATGGCAACTTCGCTGAAACAGTTGGGCTTTGCTTTTGGTGGCTTCTGTATTGACCATAACAAACTCTGCGTATGTGGTAAATTTTACTGACTGCTCTCAAGCCTGGCATTGGATCACAAGAGGTAAAATATTAGACTAATACATGTCTACAGTTAAGTAAAGTGAATGCTTTGCTAAATAAATGTTAGATCTGGCCATAATGGAATAGTTTTTATTTATTAGTACTCTCAGCCTAGCAAAAAAGTGTCATGGAAATTTATCAGCCCAGGCAGAAATATCTACTCATCCACACTTTACCACAATGATTGATGATAATGAAAAAACGAATGATATTTTACTCTCATGTCAAAAAAAAAAAAAAAGAAAGAAAAAAAGAAACTGTCACTTCAAGCTAGTAAAATCTTGCCAGGCTGATTTGAGGCTACAGGATTATGTATCCATAAGGCTTTAGCAGTTAGCATAAAATGCATACTTTCTCCACACAAAGACAATATATGCCTTATTTAGATCTATTTAGATCTATTTTAACAGTTCTGCATTTATAGCATTATCATTCAAATTGATAAAACATTTGAATGTGGGTTAGAATTAGGTTGGTGGTGTTTTTTTTTTAAATCTGTTATTGTTCTTCTCCAGTTTGAAGTACATTTTTTTCAAGCATGTTTGGTCTCATCAGAAAATCAGAACAGCCACAGGACTATGTAGCAATAAGAGCCAGCCTGTTCCTCCCAAAGATACTAGCTGCACCATTGATTTCAAGGGGTGCACGATGTTCATGTCATACTGCTGGCAACTGCCATGTTGTAGCTGCCTGGTTCCAAGCAAGTGAGAATAAGCATGCACAAGCATCCAGCAGTGGCACAAAACCAATGAGGAGCAGCCTCGTTGTCAGCAGCTGGGTGAAATCAGCAAAAGCCAAAGCAATCTGCAGTGACACATTATTTTACCTGAAGTCCTGAATTAAATTTTCTTTTTATGAGAAGCTTTTTCCAAAATTGTTGAAGTACAGTAAGAGATTTGTAAAATCTCTCTTTTCTTAACAACATAAACTAGCACTGTATTTTAAGATGCTCAAATGCTTGACCTGAAACAATTCATGAAATGGTTGTCATTTATGCACATTACTAGATATAAAATGAAATCATGAGAATATCTCATTTTACTGATGAATCAGTTGTCTAAGGTAGGAAGAGGGATGTCTGATATTTCTGGAAGCATGAACTGAATACTTTCTCTTCTCTCTACTGATAATGCAGTACTGAACTTGAACATTTTATTTTTTGTAGAGCTTTCATGTGCTTCCACTTCCAGCTGCAGAACAATTAAATAGATCAATCTAGGTTCTCTGCACTTTCCAGACACCAACTTTTTTCCTATTAAGAAATACCTTAACTTGAGTTACCGGGCTGGTCCCTCTCTTCTCATTTTTCATCCCAGTGGGTGAGAGTGCCCCTGCTGTATTTGGTGGCTGTGGAGTAGATGGCATTTTGGCTCCAGGAGAAACTTGCATGCTTGCCAGCTGAGCTGCATACAGTTGCTGGAAGACAAGAAGATATACAATATATTCTTTCACAATGCCTAAAAGAAAAGCTGTAAATGTATGCAATTTTTATTGCCTGCTGTTTTTTCTCTTGAACGAATGAGAGATTGAGAGATGTTTTTTTTCATTACTTTCTTACTTGTCGTTTTTCCCTTCTCATTACTGTTAAAACAAACAAACAAACAAACAAAACTAGCAAATTCCCACACAGTGATACCTTCTTAAATTTGACTTTTATCTGATTTCTTTTTCTCTCTTTTAGTAAATACTACCTTCCTTAGTGATGGTAAAGAGCAAAGTGCTATACCATACCCAAGTATGCAAAAAATATATATAAATAAGTAATAATTTTTTAAAAATGGCAATATTATGACTGATTATGATCAACCCCCATTAGAAACAGCCAGTGTTTTCACACAGGCTTTCCACAGAAAGCCAACTCCAGAACCTCTTCTGGGCGCTGACATGAGAAGTCTTTGCGACCAAAAGGCAACGATGCATTTTCTCCAGATATCAATGGAAGCAAGACAGGCAACAGGGCGTGCCTCAGCATACAGTGATTGTTATCTTTACATTCTATAAATGCTAATGAGAATGCAGACCTTAAAAATTCCTGTAAACAGTGATAAACAGACAGAAATGTCCTCATGGAATATGCATCCAACTTTTCAAAAAGTTTAACTGAAACATAATAAAATACCTGTGCATCAAAATAAACTATTTCACCAAACTAAAGCATTCACTGATCAAAAACAAGTAGGTTTATTTTTTTTCCAGTGACCAAACTTAAACCTTCACCTTGAATCAGCATCAGCAATAATTCTACTAATGTAAACAGGGAAGATCCTAATCCCTCTTTCACACATAAATCTATATAAACTTTGCCTTACTAGTGAGAAAAAAGCCAGGTGGTTTGTATGTAATTTCCAACATTACTATCATTCAGATGGACAAATAAAAAAAATTACAGTAATCAAAAGCAGACCTTTCAGCACATGTAATTAAATGAAAGCTTAATAAAGAATAATTTGCAAGAGCCAGATGTGCTTATGTCATAATTGTTGCTTTCTTTGGAACCATTTTTCTAATGTAACAAGCCTCCACAGAAATGAAAGTTACACAATACTGTAAGCTCAGTGACTCAGTGGCGAGACAACCGCGTGAAGGAGGGGCACAGACACAGCTCTGGGTGACAAATGGAAGCTGCTGTTTGTTTGTTTGTTTCCTGCCAGCCCTTTTCAACATCGTGTGTAGGCTACAAAAGGATCGCAGATAAATATTTAGAAACCAACGTTTGGAAATTTGGGGTAATTTTTTTTTTCCCCCATGCCATAAAACTAATTCCCCAGTTCTAAACACAAAATGGAAATGCACTGTATACAGTAGTCACTTTTGTCCCCACCCCTTCTGCTGGGCATGTGCCACTTTGGCAGTGGCCTATAAAAGAGCAGCATAACCTGCAGGTAAATCCCTTCTGCCGACCTGGATGCACTGCTTGCATGAGTCTGCCAGCTGCTCTCACTTTCCTCCCCAGAATCAGAAGTTGATTTTCACAGACGAAGACAGGGAGGTCATTAACCAGTCACCCACACTGGCAAAAAAGTCTCAACTTAGGGAAAAATTATTTAATTCAGTGTCAATGAGAATGGAGTCAGGTGATGAGAAACACAGAGAAAAACTACACCTCCTTTCATATACTCCTCTCCTTAGCTCCTCTTCATGGCCTGTTCCCGCCCCCTGTAGCCCTCCCTTCCATCCTGGCCTGGGTACTTCCACAGCTGTTTCTCGGTGTTATTCCTCACTCCTCACTGCCATGCAGGATTTTCCCTCCCTGAAACACAGTTTCCATGCAGCACTACACTGAGGGGCTACATAACATTACTGAGTTACTCCAAAGTCACAGGATTGAGTTTAGCCTAGCATTTCTACAAATTCATTTTACACAATAAAAGCAAATGTAACAACACGTAACAGTACTTATCTTTCTGGTTTGCTTTGACTTTAAAGTAAAAGTATTCCGTATATGAGTGTAAACCTTGCAAGAATTCATAGTAGTGGTAGTAAAACAGCTGTGGACTGGAAGTTTGTATAACTTCTGTTAAATACCCATTTGTATGGGGAGGTATCCAACCTGGAAAACCTCAGTGTTGCAGGGCTAAAATGGATATTTTTGCAAATACCACTGTTGTGACATGAAATCTAGGACCTCACATTGAGATGGGGAGGTTGTAAAGCTTGTATTTGCAAGATTAAGGAGGAAAGGAAAAAAAAAAAACAAAAAAAAAAACAAAAAAAAAAAAAAAAAACACAACAGTGAATGAATGTTGATTGTTGGCTTTTAACGCTGAAAAGAAAAATCTTCAATGGAATTTTTTCCATTGAAATTCAAACCCCCCAGCTATTGAGTAGCGTCTAAAAAAATTAACCTACCTCAAACACTGAAGCATATATTCTTTTCATTGTATCTCTAGCACATAACGAGAGGAGTTTTATATAACCTTCATGACAACCACTGACTCAGAAGGCTCTTGATTACTAATTAGATATTCAAAACCATCAAGTATTCATGATTGTTTTAAGAAGCCTAAAAATATATATACAGCTTGATTTATTATTATTTTTTTAAGGTCACTAAGTCAGATCCTTATGATCGAGCTCGCAGCATTCAAATATAAGTAGGGCTGATTTGGGGTTACTGAGTGCTGCTGCATAGATAACAATTTTGCAAATTAGCTTGCTTAAGGAACGTGAGCAAGGATGTAATTTTACACCTTACAGAACCACATTTTTTTGTTATATCATGATTTGACACAGAAGAGTAGGACTTTGAAATGCTGCATGTCTCTCTTGAGGCAGTGGCAAGTGAAATGTCACGCTTGGGCAATTAAAAGTTTATTGACTTAAGCTCTTGTTACCAAAACTCTATTCCAATCCTAACCAACTAAAAATTTGAGGAGAATTTATGAAAAGTGGAAAACACTGTGACACCATTCCAATGAATGATGCCCATCTACCAAAAGAAAAAGAACAGTTGAGTGTAAGAGTGTTGCACTCAGCATGCAAACTGCATAGCACAAGTACATACTGATTTTTTTTTGTACCCTGCAAACAGTAAAATTCATACCAAACCCTTTTTATAGCTTAGAGCTACAATTTAAGAAGAATAAGTAAGGAATATAATAATAGGAAGAAGGGTGGGGTAGAGAAGGAGGGGAAATATTCCCTGCTTTAGAAATCACCTATGGCATTTGATGAATTATTTCCACTACACCATTTCTATAAAAAAAATCCACAATCTAAAATTTGTCAAACAAAACCATGCACTAATAATAGCGTATCTTGACTTATCAAAATGTTAAAACTTCTCTTATCACCTAAGTTTCACAACACCTTTGTGAGATATTTCCATGATACACACGAATAATTGCCCTTACTGTCAATGTTCACTCATGTCTTGACAGAAGACAAAAGCCTTAGGCCTAAATATCCCTCTCCCAGTTTTCTGCAATGTTTTTTCAATAGTTCATCAACTACTTTTTTCAACTAGCTTTCAATACTCAAAATTCTTTCAATATCTCAGGTCCCCTTTCCTGTACAACTTTTTGCCTCCACGTAGGCCAGTAATTTCCTCCCACACCTGCTCTGCTGAATGACAATGAGAACAAAGCAAATGAGCTTTCTCTGTGCTGAATGTTATTTTTAAAACAGAAACACTTGTACTTACCTCATGGGCTGAGGCATCTGTGTCTAAACGAATGAATAAAGGTGAAGAATTTTTGAGAACTGAATGTTACAGATATAACACATGGTGAGGAAAATAGAATGGGCCTTAAATCAACACAGTTAAGGGAGATTTACACTGACAACAACTTGTTAACTTTGTGACAGGCTGCTTTACCACCTAACACAGAATTATGATAATCATAATCTTCTTACCAGTGGCTTGTCAATGGCAGGCCTTGTGGAAAAAGAAGATATTTCAATAAAGAAAAAGCAATTAACTGCACATAAGAGAGAAGCACTTTCTTTAGGTCTGAAAGCCCAGGAAAGAAATGACCACAGCAGTTGCACTTGCATGTACAAGAATGAAAAGGCAAGGACTCCACATTTCAAATGAATGCATTGGTGAGGGAAAATTTGGTCACAGCAGTCGAATGATAACTCATATGTCATTCTTTGCAGCACAGTTCTGAAGAAACTATAAAAAACATGAGAAGTACAGAGATAGGAAAAAAAGTGAATCAAATAATCAGTGTAATGGATAATCAAAGAGCAGGTGATGAGGGCTTACCTAGCACAATGAATTGAAATGAATGTACTTGGAAAATGTCCTAAAGAGAAACAATGTAGTGGAAGTTAGCTTGATCCAAGGAGGAAGAAGGGATTGGTTCTAGAAATCCTTTTATTTCCTATTACTAAAAGATTTATGACCTAATGAAAAGACAGTCCTTTTCCTGTATTTGCATGAGATTTCTCCAAAGGTGCTAGCCTTTTTTTTTTTTTCACTCAGAAAAAGGCGCTAAATATTATGGACATTGATTAAGTCTAAAGTCTTCTATACTAAAAATGTAAATCCTGTGTTACATCTCAAAAAAATACTCTTGCTACAGTAAGTGACACTGAACAATAAAACTACTGAGAATCTAGTGAGATTTCTTATTTGTCAGCATTTTAAATGAATTGTGCAAAGCTGAAATATCTTATTTATAGAGATGAAAGTTCAGCTATTTAGACAATGAGTAATTTGGTTTCCAAAGATGAAAAACTCTAAGGAGTTACTGCAAATGCTGTTGAAATCCTGCACGACAAGAGGTAATGCAGTTATTTTTTTCCATAGTATATTTAGTACATAGAGTTGCAAAGCTATAATTCTAGAATTTTCCTTCCAAGTTTATAACATGCAATAATAATGCTTAGAACTATCTAATCATCAAGGGCCTTACAAGTTCACCAAAATCATCAACATGTTTACTATTCCAAGCACTCACTTCTGAAAA